TATAAAAATGAAATTATGATTTAAAATATGTATATATATACATATAATTTATAACATATAAGAGAGACACACACAGACATATATATACATATATATTATTTAAAATTTATATAAATATAAGTGGATGTTCAAACGACAACATCCTTACTTTATGAAAATACGAGAACATTTATGCGCCTCCAAATTTTTTAACCCGCAATTAAAATTAAAAAAATAAAGTAATTAATTAACATAATCATGTGATTTTGTATTTAATTGTAGTTTCCATTGCATCTGAATCTCTAAAATCACATATAGATAATATCTTAACCAGTATTAAATTATTATCACAATATCATCAGATAATATATATATATATATATATATTATAATTTATAATATATATATATACCATAAATATATTAACTGATTATTACATGTAACAAAAAAGTTTTTTTCAACTACTTTCAAAGAATATCTAAATTCCATAATCGTATTCAATTTTGGACTTCTCTGTAAAATTAAAATTAAAATGAAATTCAAATCCATATCCTATTAAATTATTATTTTAACGGCCTATCTTAATCCAACAAATAAGATCTATTAAAATAATCTATTATATCTTCTCAGTTCTCATTTGCTATGAAATTAGTTTGGATTATTAGGCCGTCTTTATAGACATCAATTTCTATTAAAACAAATATGACCAAAACATTCTTTAGATTTGTTGCCACACACACACAACACACACACACACACACACACACACACATATATATATATATATATATATATATATCTTACATGACAAAAAGTAAAAGCTGTTACTCAAGATTCTTGATTTTTGACTGTGGTGTTCCTATGTTTCATCAACTAATGCCCAATATAAAAATATTTCAAATATATGCATAATCATGTTTATTATAATTTATTAAAAATATCTTGTTTAATATATAACATATTTATTTTATTAATTATTAATAAATATAAAAACAATGTCAAGCAACAAATTGGGCTCTTTTAGAATTTATTGTTAACACTTTATATAACAACGTGAATATTGTGTTTTATATTGGATTAAATACATTAAATAACAATTTAAATTGATAATTATTTTTTATTTTTAATTATTACAGTAATTTATTTTTAAGTTAATTTATATTAAGGTGTCGTACTTTGAAAAATCTACCATTATAACAATGGATAATTTGCTACCTTTTAAATTGGTTAAACCTTTATTTATTTGCTTATTTGGGTTAAATGAGGTGATGCGGATGATAAATCATTTTAATGAAATGTCCAAAATAAAATAAAATATCCTTCAAATTATTTTAATGATTTTTACCTTTTTTGTGACGGTTTAAAAAACATTTCAATTTTCTTTTTAACTTTTTCTTATTAAAATTGCATTCGAATATTAAATGTTATATAATTATAATATATTATTTTCAAAATAACTATTTTGTTTATAAAAAATGTAACACTTTTTATTTTATTTTGCTTAAAAAATACATATCTTTTGGCGTTTTCTTAAAATGTTAGCGAGATAAATTGTACTCTACAACTTTTCTTAATATTGTTATATTAGTGAATAATTCAAAAATTATATTTATATGTCAAGTAATTTTTTTTAAACAAGTATGATATATTTTTGGAAAAATTGCACCAAAATGGAACCAACTTTTACCCAATTCTTATTTTGGGAACCAACTTTCAAAATCGTCATTTTGGGGAACCAACTT